TAAAACTGGTTTATTCTTTCTAGATACAATTTTGCAATACACTTAATTTCCACAGTCGCGCTATAACAAACGCTATAATTCACAACGAACGTCTCACGTGCTCGACTCAACTGTCAATTACACATTACCTTGTTGCCGTCACTTCGTGGCCGTCTTATATAAAAGAATACCGTACATCTAGTAACCTCCCGAGGATTCACGAAGCTTCGAGAATATGACATGTTACTAGCGTCACGTAACCTCCACTGTCGTAACACTACGTTTTAAAGTGATAACGTTGAATTGGAGAGACAGTTTCTACGTGGATATACCAAGAAAGAGTGATTTCTTTTGTATTGTACCCTTTTGTAAATTATTGTATATAAGTTAATATTTGATGTTTGTATTTTATAATATGTAATATATCTTTAAAACTACAAAAATGCAGAGTTGACATTTATTCGTTTCTACGTTTTATACAGTACATTAATACGGGATCGTAACAATACTTGTTACATTTTATTGAAATATAATCCAATAAAAACATAGTTTGCTTATTTGATTTCATAACTTGTGCCAAGTAAACTTACAGTTTAAAAATACTGTTACGTCTCTGTTCTCGTTTGTTAACTTTCCGTAGAAATTCTTTTCCCAGAAACTTCAGCGATGCAAGTCCATTCTTAAATAAAACTAATATATTCTTTCTCAATTCATCTTTGCAATGTACTTAATTTCTACAGTCACTTTAACTTAAACACACGCTATAATTCACAACGAACGATTCACGCACTTTACTGACTACCCCGCTTGACTCAGTTGTCTGTCTCTATCTCTGCCTGTCTGCAATTCAATTATTTCCGCCGTCACCTTGTTTGCCGGCTTATATACAACAAGAGCGTGCGTCTAGCAAATGCTCGAGCCTTCAGGAACGTTCGAGATACTCATTACGTGTTACCAGCGTCACGCCACTTCCGCTGTCGCAACAATACTATAAAAAATGCATGGGTGGCCTGGATGAATGCAGTATAAAATACTGAAATTGAGTAATGAGTTAAGTGCACTTGTTTGTTCTTTCTTCTGAGTTGAAACAGTAATAAAAAATTCTATGATGAATAATACTGATTTACTTTGTAATAAATTTTCACATAAATGATAAGTGCAGAAAATCTCGGATAAAATGACAAGTACTCTCTTGCTTTCCTTAGCAACTTTAAAAATTATTTTTCTGCAAAACTAGGTCGAATTTACATTTAGACAGTATCGAGTCAAATAATATTATCATAATGAAATTATAATACTGTTACGACAGCGGAAGTCACGTGACGCTGCTGGCGCTGGTGGCGTGCGTGATGAGTTTCTTGAATGATCGGGGAAGTCCGAGTGTGTTCGAGATGTCTTCTTCGTTAGTATATAAGCCTGGCAGCCAAAGCCAGCAGAGATAAATAAAGAGAGAGCAATAGTTACTTTGAGTTCCGTGTAATTTATGATTCTGTTAGTTTCGAGCTAGTGAGCTATAAAGTGTGTGTGTGTTGCACTCGTCGAGAGTGAAATTATCGACATTGTGAATCGCTGTGTTTTACAGTGTGTATTATAAAAGTTGTTAAGTTTAAAGTGACGAGAAATATACTAATTGGGGAACTACTGTGTACTTAAAGTTTGTATCGAGGAAGAATAAACTGGTTTAATCAAGAAAGGACTTGTATTGCTCAAGATCCTCGGGAAGAATTGCTACCAGAAACAAACAAACAAGCAGATACGTAACAATACTTGTGTTACATTTTATTGAAATGTAATCCAAAACAAACATAGTTTGCTCATTGGATTTCATAACTTGTGCCAAGTAAACTTACAGTTTAAAAAATACTATAAAAAATGCATCGGTGGCCTTGATGAATGCAGTATAAAATACTGAAATTGAGTAATGAGTTAAGTGCACTTGTTAGTTCTTTCTTTGGAGTTGAAATAGTAATAAAAATCCTATGAGGAATAATACTGATTTATTTTGTGATAAATTTTCACAAAAATGATAAGTACAGAAAATCTCGGATAAAATGACAAGTAGTCTCTTGCTTTCCTTAACAACTTTAAAAGGTATTTTTCTGCAAAACTAGGTCAAATTTACATTTAGACAGTATCGAATCAAGTAATATTATCATAATGAACTTATAATACATCACTAACATCAAAGATGAGTTCAGTATCAAAATGCTTTGTTTGAAAGTAAATTGTCTATTCATTTAAGCTTTTCACTAAAAAAACGAAGGGGTTAGGAAAGCAATTTCAGCTAAGAGGACACTATAACAGTATATATGGTTAAACCATTTCACACGGTGACGAGAAAAACTGAAACACAAAACTCTTTTATTATGACTTTCACATATTATTGTTGCCATATATTATGAAAATATCTTATTAATTATTAAAAACAAAAAAAAATGTCTATTAATTGTTAATGAATGAATGTGATAACCAATCATGGCATACATACATGATTTGAGAATTTACAAAATATATATTGCTAAAAGTAAAATAAAGTTTTAAAATTAGTGAAATATGAAGGTGCAAGTACTTCATAGAAAGCCTGATATGTACACATTTTGCAACTTTGTGCTAATGAGCAATAATGAAGAGAGATTAATCATTGTTATCTGTCTTCTTTGTACTCAGATACTATGACCGTTTGCTAAACGCGTGTGTAACAGATTAAGCAACTCCTTGAAATATGCCCCCGATGGCTTAAGGCTCAGCAGTAATGCTGAGGGCCTATAGCGCTAAAATTTCGATTTTGAAACCCGCAGCAGGTCAGAGAATAGATAACCCATTGTTTAGCTTTGTGCTTAACAACAAACAAACAAACTTCAGATATAATTATAATATACATAATTGATGTTGTATCTTATCTAATAGTGTGATGAACATGCACAATTTTTCTGTGAAGTTTTCCAGCTGCCATGATAAAAATATACTTAAATAATATAACGCTGTGAGACTTATGGTGTTATTTTAAAAAAGGTACAAGCGTGACGTGGAAATCAACTAATAGAGAATTATATTAAAGATTTAACTCTAAACTTATTCCACAAAAATACTTGAAACTAAACTTTCTGTACGTCAGCATGTCATCAAATCTCTATCTAAATGGCCCGGCATGACCAGGTGGTTAGTGCACTCGACTCGCAATCTGCAGGTCGCGGGTTCGAATCCCCGTCCCACCAAACATGCTCGCCCTTTCAGCCGTGGAGGCGTTATAATGTGACGGTCAATCCCATTATTCGTTGGTAAAAGAGTAGCCCAAGAGTTGGCGGTGGATGGTGATGACTAGCTGCCTTCTCTATAGTCTTACACTGCTAAATTAGGGACGGATAGCGCAGATAGCCCTCGTGTAGCTTTGCGCGAAATTCGAAAAACAAACAAACAATCCTATATCTAAATCTACATAAATCTATTGTACTGGGCATTCATTTTGATTAAAGTACCTTAATTTTTATTACAAGGTAGAGAGAAAAATTAAATTTTCATCATTTTTATAATTAAGACGTGTCAGGCATTAATATTTCTTCGTTTTACAACTATATTTCAACAGTTCGTGAAAGAAAAGGCATCAATCATTATTGTACTCCAAATTTCCATACACAGATTCAGAATTTGTAAAGGGGTGCATAAAAAGATTTTAAAACTGATTGGAATAAATGCACCTTTTCCTCTACGTACTAAGGGGTAATCCAAAACCCAGAAAACAACTTTAAAAAAGGGTGGGAGAACGTATGCATAATTGCTGCATTTCCTAAGGATCCACCCATAATCTCAGTGGAAAACTTTTTCCTGACAATTTCCTTCTCTCGAGTTTTGAAATTTGTATAGCTTAACACCCTGATGTAATAACATATCTTTATTTGGCCACGCTATTTACCAATATGTAGTATAAAAATTAGCTATATATTTTATGGTAATGAATTGTCATTGGCAAATAAAGTTATTTGTTATGTTTATTAGATCATAACAAATATGATAATTAATTTCATAAGGACCTTATTTATTAACAATATCCAGGTAAAATTCTAAAAAACATAGGGTTACCGTCATTGTTGTTACACGTGCTAAAGCATTTATCTGTAGACCAACTAGTGAAGTACAGTTTACCTCTGTTGTTGTTTCTTTTTCAGGTAAAATAATTATTTTAATTCATTCATTTTGTAACATAAAATTGTACTTTAATGACATCGAACCAATAAAAGAATCAGTTGATGCGTTTATAAAATAAAACCTTTGGGACCAAATAACATAAAAAAAGGCTAATTACGAATAAGAACAAGTAACGCTCATGGAAGATTTAACCTTCCTTTAAAGCAGAACAGTTTTCTCCTTTTTATTGATCGTAAATTAATAAAGCTGTAGTTTTTCAAGTAATTTTGTCATCAAAAGTTATATTTGCCCCATCTTACATATATCTCATTTGTTTAAGTATAAAAATACGCAAGAAAATCTTTACTTATCACAACACATATATTAAATTTTCTTTTTTACTGTTATTTTCAAATTTTATGTAAACACTTGCTTTTTGATATCCTTGAGCTATAATACAGAAATTAAAAATAAAGCCAATAATACAAAAATCTTCATATTTCTTTATCTCTAGATGCAGTCGTGGAAAAAAAGATAAGTTGAATAAAGTAAGGTAAAAACTTGGTTTGGGGCATGAGCTGTACCTGTTGGTTTGTCTTTTATTTACAACGTTTTATCTAAAATGACTAGATTATTGACTCATTAAGTCCACCGAAAGAACCTCGGATTTAGGAGATAAAACAAACCTTTCTTCAGTGTACCGGTCTGTCTCGTTGTACTTCCAACAATGGAAACCAGATCACTTATTAACCACCCTTGCTTAAGCTTTTCTTTTTATTTTGTTTCGTAAATACGATAAAGATGTGGAATGTCCAGGATGTGTTGTTTTTGCTTTTTTTTGTACAGAAGCACCATCATTGCAGGCAGAAAAAACTGATATGGCAGAAGCGATGAAAACTACAGATATATCGACTACCCCTTCAATATCCAGCTCTGTACCAAGTTCTGCGGTAAGACCAGAACAGATTATACAACACCTATTTTCTTTCTCTTCCTCTCAAAGCTGTCAGGATTCATATAGTGGTGTAGTGTATGATATATATATATGGTGCTTTTAATTGTCCGTTACTCGCCACAGTGAACTTATATTTGTAAAGGACTAGAATTCTATATGATTAAAAAGCTTGTCTGGAATTTGTTTGATTTTTGTTGAATAAGATGTTTGTTATTCATGTATTTTCTATTTAGTTGAAATATCATTTGCTGAAATATGTTTAATATTTTAGGATCTCAATAAAGTGCTAACATTAGCGACTCTAGACACAACAACTGTGTGTTCCGAGATTCTACCAGAGAGAGTGGTCGTTGGAGTATCACGTAATGGTTCTTCTTTTCCTGTAATTTCTACCGACAAAACAAGTAAGCTCCCTTATCAGTGCTAATTCTCAAATATACTCATTTTAACAAATAGTCTGTTTAAAACATCTTCGCTATCCAAAGCAGAGATACGCCTAGAGTAGCGGAAATTCTAGTGAACTATCCAATCAGAGAGAATTTATTTTCATCAGGCAATGCTTAGGATGAATATTCTTATATTCTAGGCCTGATAGTGGTCTTCTTGTAAGCCATTGCCTTTTGATCACAGTTACATTATCCACAAAGAAGGTTCTGAATGTGTCGCACTGGAAAGTCGCTAGAACAGAATATTCAACAGCAAGTAAAATACAGGCAGTAAAAATGATGCTTACATGCGAATAAGGCTGTAAATGATAACCTTTGTATTACTGAATTAACTAGTTGAAGGAAACATTAAAACGATAAAAACTAGCTATAATATACTCTTCGTTGCCTAGTATCTAGTAGCTCTTCACAAAAGTTAACAGAAGTTATGTAATATTTTGTTTTGTTAGTCACCAGCATCAGTCCTGAGTGCGTGACAAACAGCAAAAGCAAGTTCTCGGATTACACTGGTTTTGTCAAAAGGTAAGCTCTACTCGACTAATGCAATTATGAAACCTAATGAAGAGAACATTAATAAAATTCTATTCCATGTCAATATATATGTATATGCATTACTTAAAATTATTGTATCTGAGTAGGAAAAAAAACAGATAAGTAACTAATAAACAGCTAATTTGACACAAATATATTAACAGCTAATTTGAAAATATATGTAACATAAATATATATATAACGTTCTCCTGAAAATACTACTGGAAAGTGACGAATTTAAAACTTCAACGCCTCAGAGCTGAACCCTTTTTTGGCGCTATATCATTTATTAGTAGTTTTGCCTCTAAGAACATGCTCTATCTGTTCTTCCATAGGTGAACACCTTTTCTTTGACATCAGTGTACACTATGGGATGCATTTGCACCCTCTAACAACTTTGGTGCACTATAACAATTTTAGGATCTAGCTTTAAAGGACACAAATAAGAAGGCTTATTTAATATACAATGTAAAATATTCAATTAAAATAATAACTACGACAAGTGGATCAAGCCACCTTTATTTAAACAATGAATACAAAACATTTATTTTCGCGCACGTGGGTTGTTTGTTAGTTAGTATGCATGAAACATTTTTCAACATGTCTATGTCAGGTTAACAATATACAACACAACAACAACATAAGCGTTATTTCATTCCAATCCCGGGTGGACCGGCGGGCCGGTAGAGGGTTAAGCCCTCTCGTCAGCCAAGGGACGAAAAAAGAAAAATGAATAATAGATGGGTAAGCGTAGCAAGTCATCACAGGAGGACGGAAAATGGGGAAAATGACGATATTTGCAAG